TTAAATGGTTTGTAAATCAGGCTTAGTCAGCATTGATAAAACTACACATTTTCTTCTCTAGATTTTTCGAAGTGGTTATTTCATCTCAGCATAATTGTAATCCTATTTGGGCAGTGCATAGTACCACACTGACCTGACCTTTGTTGGAGTAGTAGGGTGATGCTGATTGTACTCAAATACATGCTAGTTGTGCTGATCTAACTATCTACTTTACAGCAGACATAATTTGTTCTAAGCTTTGTATGTTATTGTCATTGGCTGAAGTTGTTCAGAGTTTCTAGAACTTAACACAGGTTCGTGAAATTTTAACAGTCTCTTCAGTGCTGACAGAACTGCTTTTGATCAGTTGGGTTTCTTGTCTATATCACTTACTAGGTGAAAGATATGATAAGAATGAAAGGCGTCTCCCTTGTTCCTTCCAGCAGCTTTGTACTACTTAGCTGCTTGTGATAAAGTATGGTAAAGTGCTCAGGAACTGCATTTGTTTTAAAAGTCATGGAAGTTCTGAAGAACTTCTGAAGAGAATTGTACTACTGCTTGGACTCTGCTCAAAATACCTCCACGTGAATGCTGGCATTGTTAGTACAAATCTGGACATCTGAAGACATTGTTGCTGAATTAATGATGATGTGCATAGAATGGGTAATTGTGAAAACCATGAAAACCAGCTATTCTGGTGTTTCAGATACCTCAGCTCGAGGCAGAGGTGTTAGTGAGCCACGTAGGGGATGGGCCAGCAAGCCAAAGTATGGGATGGAGTTGCTGCTTCATATAGGATTATTTTAATGAATGTATGACTACAGCTTCAAAGTTCACTAAATTTCATAAAAACAATGAAGTAGAATATTACTTTGTGCAGTAAAAGTTTGTGATGTTAAGAACTGAAGGACTTAGTTCCATTCTGCTGATCAAACATGGAGTTCTTTGCAATTGTAAGGAATCTTCCAGTTTTGCTAAAAACTGGATTTGCCTTTGTTGTTAATTGCTTAGTCTTACATTTAGGGATGAAATGACTCTTTAAGAAGCTTACAGTGCACTTTTGGTTTAAAATTTGGGCTTTGTTTGAGCAGCGCATATGAAATCTTTGTCCTTTTGAAATACTTTCAGACATTTGTAACTCTCCAAATACAGAATACCTTCTAACTTACACGTGAGTGAAGTTTTGTTACCTAATCCAAACAGGAAAATAAATGTCCCTTGATTATAGTGCTGTCACTGATACTGCTATATTTTCTGTTACCTAAATAGTAGAAGTAACTGTTCTAGTAACTGCCACCACCTTTTCTTTTTGGAAATCTTATTGCAAAGAAGAACTTTTCTGTGTAAGATATAACTTCAGATACACTATAGTTTATAAATAAGAAATAGTGAAGTAGATATAAAGAAGTGCTTTTAATAGTCAAAGCAAATGAATGGCTTGTTGGCTTTGTTCAAATAGTATTTTCTTTCTAGGAACTAAGTCTTCCTCCTGAGCCTTAATTTGATAGTACTGAGTTACTTGTTTCTAGTTGTACACAAGGATATGTTCTGAAGGAGCATTTTGGGAACATGAGATTAGAAAAGATGACATTGGGTTCATCTCCTGTGATCGCTGGCAGCCATGCAGTGAAGTCCAGTTAACAACTAGTTTACTCTCCAGCATGTTGTTGTAAATGCATGCTTTTGTCCACAGCAGTGCCTGTTCATGATTAAGGTGAGCAAGGCTTGGCCAGACTTGATTAAAAACTGAGGGAATAAAGAGAAGATGGTTTCTTGAGCATTTGAAAATGTCTAGCACTGTCTTCCATTAGTATGTCAGCCAGTATTGTTATCTGTTACCCTTTGGTAGGAAAACCTGAAGGCAGGTCTGTGGTTCACCTGTCTCAGGTTCCCTTTGGTAGCCCCATGTAAATAATCACAAGGGACCGCATGTTATCCTGAGAAAAGCTCAGAGTGGGAGTTGTTCTTTCTGTGCTGTGACGGATGGTGGCTGTGCTGCGCTCAGAAGGATGCCTCGTCCTGCTGGGGCAAAATGTCACATGCAAGCCAGAGTTTACCTTTGCTGCTGCTCTGTTTTGCTAGGTAATTCTTCAAGTAGACATCAAACAAATGGGAAACGTAGGGGGGAAGCTCTTATAATGGCCGCAAAAGATCCTGTTAATTTAAAGCAAGCAAACAAAAACAACACACACACACAAAAGAACTTGTTCTGCTAGGGAAGATAGCGAGGCTGTACAGCTACTCTGTGCCTTGGGAGGACTGTAACAGTTTTAGTACATGAGATAGATGTGAAAGTTCCTTCACTGTTGTAGGTTGTCATGGCTGTTTCTGCCTGGCAGTGTGGAGCTTGTCTGCAGGGCAAGTTTGTATTAGAAAACCAGTAGTGGAGAGTATGTTGCTAAACTGATTATGTATAGCTCATGTTAGATTGTACTGAGGAGCTGCTTTTCCATGACAGTGACAGTATGTGCACAGCATTGACTGAGGTTATGCTTGTTGCATTGTGCACTTAACCATGTTAGATTCATTTTGCTTGGCACCATCCTCACTTACTGAACTTAAAGAAATGCTGTATCATACAGTGGAAGATGATTTGAGCCTGTTAACTTGAAAATAACCATTTGCTGTGTCCCTCTTAGCTCTGACACATCTGCATTAGCTGCCAGGATGTGGCCAGGACTAAGAGTAATGACTGTAGAAGTTCCTTAGGCAATGTAGAGAGCTTGGAGTGATCTTTGTTTCTAGAAAGGATACACTTCTGAAGCAGTAGTGCAGAGCCAGGTGAATTGCATTAAAACAAAAAACAACCACACACAGAAAAACCTCCAAGTACTATGTAATCTCCTTGACAGTACGCCTTGTGATAAAGGAATTAATTGGGAACACTACCATATGGTCTTGCTTGCTGACTTTAGGGGTGGTCTTCAAAAACACAGCATTTATGTGGGAGTTTGGCTACAACTTCGTCACCAACATCTACCTTGTAGCTGCCAAGAATCTGCCATTGCAGATTTCAGAGTGGTCAGAAGGAAAACGTATGCCATGGCAGCTGCAGAATCTGGAGACTGCAAGGCCTTTGGAGTTCTAGGATTGCTGTTTGTATGTAGGGGGAAAAAAAGAAAAGAAAGCCTAATTGTTAGTGCTTTTTTTTTTTTGTAATATTAAAATATAATCTGAAAGAATGACAGTCTGTAGTTACAGTTTCCCTTTAAGATGGGTACATACTTATTTTTGAGTGGCTGAATTAGCTTCACCATTTGAAGGCACTGGATGCTGTCTTGTTACCATTATTTCTCTAGATGGCTGTTCTAGCCTGACAGCCATAGCTGTGGCAATTACTTGTCTTTGACCTGTTAAGGATTTTAGTATTAGAGCTTGCAGGATGGCAGCTGTAGTTAACCAAGGGTTAGTAGTACAGGCTCTGCACCACCTGCTTTGTTAAGAAGATACTCATCTGTCTGTTATGGAATAGGTAACAGTTTTTAAAATTGGGCGTGTAGGAAGCTGCACTGTGTATATGGGGGGAGGGGCCAGATGAAAAGGAAATGAGAGAATTGATGAAGTTGTCAGCACTTTAAATAGGACTGAGGGATTACATTTTGTCAGCTGTGCTTAATCTGAGGTTCTAGCATCTGCCATTCTTCAGCTGTATCTGCTAAGGTAATCACTATAATGTTCATGGTTGTGTTGCAGTTTGCACCAGTCAATTCTGAGTTGCTCTTGGAAGCTGTCCTGTAAGTGAAGCCAGCCAAATACATACGCCTTGTGTGTGACTTTCTAGAGTCCTTCTTTGTCTAACATGTATTCTACATGTGTGCAAGGTTTTCTGGTTGTCAAGCAAGACCTCAAGATGTTGGTAAACTGCTCTAAGGAACCTTTATCTGAGAGACAGAGAGCTCTTCATCCTGTTGTGCTGCTGTAATCAGGGTCATTTTTCCCATTAGTCTTCCTCTGTATGAAGACTCTGTCGTGCTCCTTAGCCCTGCAGCATGCTTCTGGGTCTGTTTCCCCAGGCAGAGCAATTCACTATGTTTAACTCATCCAGCACAGCAGCTGGATTTTAAATCTGAGGCATTTGGGGGGTTGTTTTGAAACTTGTTTTGAAACCTGAATGTGTAGCACAGGGAAGTACTGTATTTTAAGGACTAAGAGCTTTTTCATATGGACTGCAGAAGAAGCAATGCAGAGTTCAAGGTGAATGTCCTCATTAACACTTTGGGTTCTTACTTACGCAGTTCTTATTTCCAATAAGTTGTAATTACCAATTACAGGAATAAAGTTACGTTCTGGTTTGCTCCTTCTTGTGACCGCACTTAGCGCAAACACAAGCAGATCTATACTAGAAGCTTTGAAATAACAAGTCTTAAACTTTAGCATCTATGTCCAAAATCAATATAGAAATACATTTTCATGAGACTTGTGCACAGCTCTGCTCCGAGTTGTTAAAGCAGGACGTTGTACTGCAATTGGATTTTCACGTATAGCTCTGTTCCTGTTACATATCAGTACCGCAGCTGTCCGAGGGACATGGAGGAGGCTGCCGTTCTGCTTATGTACCTCACCACAACCAGGCTGAAAGTAGAGATGTCAGGTATCATTAATAGCACTGGGTTGTCTGTGGGGATCCTAGTTATCTTGGTGGCAATAATGCGATAAAGATGAAGCCTAGATTTGGCAGGCCTAGCAGAAGAACGTGCTTTGTTTGAGTATGTGTCTTTTAGACCATACAAAGAGGTGACAAGGCTCTGGAGCAGAACTGCATTTACTCAAAGCTGAAGTATGAAAATTAGGAGCTTATGTTCTTGAACCAGCTGCTTTTTAACTGTGAGGCAGTGAAATTCAATTTAAAATCTTAAAGCCAAAGTGTCTAGGAACAACTAAGGGTAAGAACGAGTACAGAATAAGTGGATTTTTCTGGTGGTGTGAAGTATATTACTAATGTTTATATCCTCATTTTATACACGTGGGTATGTGAAAACTTTTTTCTAGTTTGTGTCACTGCTGTCTCTTTATTTTTTTAGGTTACTGTTAAAATGTTAAAATGCTGATGAAGACAGGCTTCTGTAGAATCCTGCTGCTGCCTTATGAATACAAAAGGGAATTCTAAACCAACCTTTAGAACAAGGTATGTATTGTAAAATATTGGGATTTAGAGATTACTGCAATTGGGAGCTGGCTTTGTGTTCACACCTGCAATTTGATGTAGTTCTGCTGTACTGTACTTGGCAATTCTCTGTTGAATGTCCTGAGGTTCATGCCAGCCATTTTCCCAGGCTGTTACAGTCATCTTGGGATGATGGGATGCCTGTCCCATTATCTAGGTCATTAATAAAGATTTTGAAAATGACTGGCCCCTGTGCTGACCTGGCATACACTGCTCATTGCTGGGATCCAAGTAGTCTTTATGCCACTGACCCAACCTTCTGGGCCTGCTCAGCCACTGCTCAGCCCATGTCACTGTCTGCTTATCCAGCCTGTGCTTCAGCTTGTCAGTGAGGGTGTTACAGCAGATAACATCAAACCTTTCTCAAGTCACGGTAGGCAATATCCACTGCTTGCTCTGTATCCACTGAGCTGGTCACCTCGTCACAGAGGGCTGTCACAGCCAGCTGGTTAAGGCCTTACACATCACCCCTCTGTAAATGCATGCCAACTATTCCCAGTCATCATCTTGTTTGTTCTGAGTGGCGTTTCCTCTCTTTCTCAAGGCTTTTCCCAGTTCCCTGGAGCCACCTTACTGAAACCAGGAGCGATGTTTCTTTCCTCCCAGGCCTCAGGAGCCTCTCTGGCTGCAGCCTCATGATGGCAACAGCCCTCTCCCTCAGCCTGGTTCTGTGGTGTTGCTGTGCCCTTTACTAAGAGGTTCCCTGTTACTTTCTAGGTGCTGCAAAATCACAGTCTTGTGTGCACCAGGCTAAGGAAAAAAGTGAAAAGCATTTAATTAGAAAATCTAAGAAATGAAAAAGAGTAGTTTTCAGAAAAAGCGAGAACAGAAAAAGGTGAAGAAAATCACTTGATACACTTCTGTGAGGTTTAAGCCATCATTTTTTTCTCTTTCCAGCTGCCTTCTTGTCACGATGAAGTAGCTGTTGGGAACTCAGTCGCTTTCCTTTCCCTCACACACGGGACTACCCTTGAGCAAAAGGGTTATTTGACAGCCTCAGTGCTGGGCACGTTTCCCAGGCGCTTCAGCATCTTTCTGTGCTCAGCTCACGCCTTCCTTCCTGCTAAGGGAAGAGAGAAGGCCAGGGCTCCCTGGAGACAGATGTTTCTTTGACTGGCTGAATAGTGACTCCTTGTCTCAGGGCAGTGATGAAGCCCTTTCCTTCTCTTTCTCCCACTATTCATTTGTGTGGGTACCCTTCAGATCGCAGTGTGAACCTAGCTGGCAAAGCATAATGTACAATTAAATGGCATTAAGAACTCAGACAAGATTAGATTAAAATGTGAGTGATCACATGATATTTGAGGCATTGATTGTGTGCAGCAATAAACTTAAAGCAGTTGCTAAGACCGTGAGTCGGCCAGATCTTAGACACTTAAAGTAATACAACTTACACCTGGTCAGTATAAGATTTCCTAAGGTTCTGCCATACCAAGAGGGGTACCTGGCTCTGATTTAATTCCCACAGAGGTCAGAATGCTGTCGATGTTTCTTGTGATTCACATAACCTCAGGAGTGCTAGCTAGGATGAGCATTTCCAAGCCCTTTATCCAGCTGTGTTTGTAAATGCATTGCTCTGTAACTTGCTAGTTGAGTCCTGATGGTTGCTGTACTTTGGTTGCCAAAGTGCTTTTTCAGGAATTTTTTCAATAATTTCAGTATCTTTCTAACTCCTCAGGCTGAGCTACTTATTTACTAAGTATTCTTTATTGCATTAGGGTCGAAGGAACTCTTGTGGTGGCCATACAGCCTTATCCTGGAAGATGGCTGTGTTGTAACTGTGCAAGTTCATCCCTTCAAGTTAGAACTTGAACGAGCACCTGAGGTGAGAAAAAAGCGATTTTCAGAATAATTGGAACAAATAACAGTGGTGGTTGTGAGCTGTGATGGCATCTCTTCTCTTTACGCTGGACTATCTGTCTCTTGTGTTCTTCCCCCCAGTCCTTGTTCTGTGTTCTTGGGCACAAGAACAATGTTGATATCCAGTAAAACAGTAATTAGAGCAGTGGCTCTTTGATCGATTTGGCCTTCTGCTATTTAGCTTTTTCCCTTGGGCTGTATTCTTTATGCTTGCAGACAGGACCAGTAGCCCTGCAAGACCAGCGGGCAGTGATGGGAAGGTTACCAGCACAGGAATGGGCAGAAGACACATCAGGAAAAACAGCTGGTGGCATTTCCTTGCCAGGAATGTCCAAATTGCAGGTACTGGGATGTTCAGGCTCCAGGGTTCAGCTTCTAACACTTTATATAGCAGAGATGATGGCTGAAACTCAGATGTGTACCCGAGGTCTTGCCTCTCTTTGTACTGAAAGCGTATGAGGAACACTTTGTTTCTGGCTCTCCAGCACAAGTACTGCAAAAAGGTGCTCATAAAGGCTTCACAGTTGTATGTTCTGGAGCAGGAGCCACAGTAAATCATACATTAAAGTATCACTTCCGTGACTGTGTTTGAATTTAAAAACACTGATTCTGCTTAACTCCAAGGAGGATGATAATATTATTAAACACTAAAATGTACCAAAACACCCTGTCTTAACAGTTCATAAGGAGGAAAAACAGTGAATAAAACAAAATGAAAAATGTGGGTTTTTTGATGCCATGAGGTTCCAAAACTGCATTGTAACAGCAGTGCTGTAGCTCTCCTTTTTTCAGAGTTTGTTTCTAATGAAACTCTTTCAAATAAACTTCCTATTACTTGTTTATTAATTTTGTTTCCTGAACTCAAAGACAGTGAACAAGAACTGAGCAGCTGCTGGGAACCTCTTAGGAGACAAAAAGCAAAGTCGTGTGGGCATAGAATAATTTAATGTAGTAGTGCAGCAGCATCATGAAAACCAAGCTGAGGGTCATGATGGCCACAGGGTAAGGATGGAGGTGTCCAGCACCAAAGACCATGCAGAAAGACACCATGTTACCCAGCAAGCTCCAGCACCTGTGAGAGCAAATGAATTCATACCTTCACAGCCATTTATTGCTACTGCAGAGAGTAATCCCAGCTGCTCAGTCTTGCTGATAAATATCAGGAGAAGGAAAAAAACAAGCAAGTATGCCGAAAGTACTTCTGACCAGTGCCTAAAGTGATTTTTATTGTAGCTATCTCTTTACCTTTTGTCCACCAAAACTTCTCCCTTAGCAGCTGGATAAAAAGGATGTAGCAAAATCAGATAGAAGTCAGCTTTAAACATTTTTCACATCTCTTCAGTAGGAAGCTAGAGCTTATATCACCATCAGAAGAGGAAGATGGCTGCAAAATCCATCCCTCAGTAACAATGTTATGAATGCAGGTTTTCTTCCTCTTTCCTGTAAAACTCCCTTCTGCACCTTAAGCTTCTCAAGACAGGAAGAAGTATTAAACCTGACAACAGCCCTAACAAACCAACACCACCCACCACCCTCAGCACCACCTCTGACAACTTACTTGCTACGTCAACTCTTGGAGCAACATTTTGGTTAAACTGTACAGCAGTTCTGCACTGCTTCAAGATAATTACATGGACACCTGTTCAAAACCTTTTTGGGCCCACCTGCACAGTCCTTCCGAGCTCAACCTCTTCCCAGAGGGGCACTGTACACATGTACTCCTAAGCATACAATGCAGGGACAGCCAAGGACATGGTAACCCCAGGAAAGCTGTCACTCCACCCTAAGGAAACACTGAAGCATGTCTCCTATCCACATTCATCTTCCATGACTATTTGCTAAGACCTACACTTTGAAATTCAGAAGAAAACCAGCAGCTGCTGGTAGGGACTGTCCTGATTCTCAGTCACTGCTTTCTGTGCACTGCAGTGTTTATGCATAGGAGAGTGAGGTATCACAGGTTTCAGAGAGATGCAGGTTCAGACTTGTTAACACACCCATCAATCTGCTTGATTGACTACCTTGAATGACACCAGAAATGAGCATGTCATGGTGCTGGTGTAGTTTTACACAGAAAATGTAACATTCCACAAAACTGAGACAGATGATAGTGTGCTTCATTACTAAGATTTGACATCTCTTAGTATGAAAGTTTTAAACTTTCAAGAACCAGAACTTAAAAGTGGTAAGCTGAAAGTTTTAATATAAAGTCACAGTTCTTAAAAGGGTACAACTGAGTGCTCACCATCAAAATGGTGCAAATACATTATTTATCCCCAATAGTTTCTTAAGCAATATAGGCACATAGTGTCATGTAAACTACTTGTGGCAACCAGAACAGCAAAGGCACAATCTATTTTTCTTTCCTTTACTTTTCAAGATGTTGTTTAATTAATTTACAAAGAAAAAATACTCTGTACTTCAGGCAGAAGTATTACATTTGTATTACAGCACGGAACCATTGCAGAACTGCTGTCATCTGATAAAATGGTCACTTAAAGAAATAAAAAGATAGATAGATAGCAGCTCTTTGCACACAGAAACTGAGAGGGCAACGCCTGTTCTCATCAGTCAGGCTGAGAACATCTGAACTCCTCTGTACCTTTTAGCCACCTATGAAAGCATTGCCCACAGTTAAGGTAGCAGTTAACATATTTTCTGGTTTGCTAGTTCCAGCTATTTGAATGTTTTCTCACATGCCACTTGACTAACAACTCCAAAGTTAAGATGCCTGTATAACTATCAGTTGCTTCTCTAACACAAGATTAGTTTTAAAGCACTGATGTAACTAGGAATCTGACCACAGTGCTCTACTCACTGAGCCTATCTGGACATCCTCATTCACTCCTGCAGACAACTGTCTGTTCAAAGGGAATCATGCAGGGCTTTTACACAGGCAATCCCTCCTGTTCTCCCCCCAGGAAACAACTGCAGGAAGAGTTTGAAACCAGAATGTGGCCCCCAGCAGTTCATGGTTAAGCGATGCAGTGGCTTTCAGGTGTAATTCCTGCCCACTGCTCTGAGAATACAATAGTCCTGCATTTTACACTGAAACAGTTCAGTTATTTGAGTAAGTAGAAAATTGTAGTTCACAAATGGAAAAGACCCTTCTATTAAAAAAAAAAAAAAGATATTTCACTTAGTTACCTTAAATAGTTCTTGTATGCACCATTCCACATTGTGGAAAAGCTGAAATACGCAGTCTGGACTCAACAAGTTAAAGACAGACAGCATTGTATGTATTGGCACAAATACTTACATCTATGTCTGTACAAATCAAAAAAGAGCTGACAACCCTGTCCCAACCAGCACAGCGTATTCAGCTGCTCTCTAACACACACTTTCCTGTATGACTGCCAACGAACAACATGGAGATGGGAACCTGGGACTAAGAGTGTGGTGCCAGAAAGTTCCAAACTGCTTTGTCAGTCTCTAAACGAAGGACTCAGAAGTATATCGCAAAGGTGTCAGGCCACTCAACAGGCTCGCAACTGTGAGGTCACTGCAGCTGCACTCTGTATGCTCCTATTAGCAGCTTCACCTGTAAAAGCAAACACAGGTTTGACATGAAGATGGGAGCATCCAACAAACAACACGGCCTGTTGAACTGCAAGCACACAGATTACAGGAGTTATAGAACAGCAGATCACAGAATCACAGAATGGTCTGTCTTGAAAAGGACCACAATGATCATCGAGTTTCAACCCCCCTTCTGTGTGCAGGGTCACCAACCACCAGACCGGGCTGCCCAGAGCCACATCCAGCCTGGCCTTGAATGCCTCCAGGGATGGGGCACCAGATCAGCGTACAGAAGTGAAAGCATTTTGTACCTTGGCTGTAGGAGCTTCTGCTAGCCGGATAAAAAGCTTGTTAAGGCCTGCAGTTGGGCTGAAGGAATAAATAAAGTGACTGTCCTAAAAGGAAAAGAGAATTGACAAAGTTAATGGCAGGATATAGTCCAAAATGCCGTGTGAGTCAAAGAATACAATTAACTATGATTGTTTTGGGGCAGATTTTATATAATTTTTTTTTTTTTTTAAAGTTGTGTACATTGCAGGGAACTGTTAGTGCACTCTGCAATCACAGAGAAAACGAGAGAGAAGACACAGGTGTGTGGACAGTGATACATTTAATAGAAAAAACAATAAATTCACATGACTCATAAATGAGGCAGGTCATTAAAATGGTTATAACTAAAGAATTTGCTTTAAAAGGCAGAGAAACAAGGTGAGCTGGAGGAATGATACTCCTTCAAATGTCGAATTCTCTCCTCTCTGCCCAAAGCCTCAGCTCTGGCATCACTCAGTCACAGGATAGCAAGGCCCTCCGCCTCCCCCTGGCCCAACCTGGGCTCCAGCATAGACACACAGAGCAGGGGGCCCACAGCTGCAGCCCTGCCTTTTATTTAACTCTTCATGGAATCTAGTGCCTACAAGCTGTGCACTCCTCTCCATTAAAAAAAAATAAATTAAGTTTCATTTCAAAATTAAAAAACACCACTGTAACACTCAAAATCCAAATTAAGGCTCTAACATCTGCCAGGCTGTTCTGCAGACAGTTTTACAGCCCATTAGTCACACAAAAAATACTTACCAAAAATACAGGGAGCTGGAATTTGTCATTTAAAACCACAGCTTGTACACTGCATGGTCCACAGAGCCGAGCAACGACTTCTTTACCAAAGAAATTTGCATGGAAAATAAAGAGAAGAATTCCACATCCTAGAAGGGAAGGCAATTCAGTCACACAAAGCAGGAATGGGATCCATGATTTAGAACAATTGCAAACACCAAACTTTTGAATGCAAACAGCAAGGTACCTTTAGTGTCTGTATAAATATTAAACTCCAAAGGAGCATCAAAGCAATATGTGGAAATCCAACCTCCCAAGCCAGTGAGCCCAGGGAGAGAACACAGCTGAGCTGTTCACAAGGCTAAAGGGTTTTGGCAGCAAAATAAACCTTAAGCAGGGATCAGAAACGAAAGCAAAACAGGTACATCTATAGTTTGGGAACATTGTGTAATTTGGCTTATCTTTTCTCTTGGTAAGGAGTGCTAAGCTCAGTCTAGTATGGGCATTTATGAACTGCGCCAAAATTCAATAAGCAACAGTATTCAATATATACAAGTACCCCATTTTAGTATATAAACTTATAGAATGCTTCCTAATTCAGTAAAGTATCATAAAAAATGAGAAGATGCTTACAACTCTGAACAATTAAAACCTGGACAAACACCTACAAAATCCCAGTTTAAGCAGTGTTTCACCCACAAGGCATGAAAATATTACTCCTGCATTTCACAACCTGAATATAGGGAGCACCATTAATATCATGTACTGCATTAATGTTATGTACACCATTAATATCATGCCATGCATTTCATACAGCTGGTAATTAAGACAAAAGGGCCATTTTTTTCTATTTTGCTTTTTTTTTTTTTTTTTTTTTGAAGTACAGGCAAGCAGAACCAACACACAGCAAGATCCCTACCTTCTGGCACATTCTGTGGGGGTTTATAGTTGAAGTCTGTGGAGAAGTCTGGCCCTTCGCAGAGACGGTGACAAGCAATTGGGAAGACCGGCTCCAGCAAAACAAGGCGAGCTTCAAAATAGTCCCTGATGGTATCTTCTGCTACTCTTGAGAGTCTACATGAGGAAACAAGCGAGGCCTGTACTTCACACAGTACCATTACTTCAGCAGACAGTCTTGAAGAGAGATTATACAAAGAACGATTCCAGATTTCCTTTCCACATTCCCAGCTGTCAGGACTTTATCACCTACACTTACGTGCAGATGAGCCCCAGGTCCCAACATTTTATTAATAAAACATTTTCTCAGAGCCCTGTTCATGAAGTTCTATCTGTCAGGCCTCAGCATTTTACTTTTGTGGAAAGCACAGTACAGCAGACACCAGAAGTGTCAGTAACCACATACTTCTTTATGTGGAAAGGTGTTGCTGGAACACCAGTAGGCACCACTGGCTGAATGGGAACAGGTGACTGCTTCCCCCCAATAAAATGACTGCAAGTACAGGGTAAACAAATCACTCCTTTACTACTAGTGTAATGCAATTCCCAAATTAAGCTTTATTAAAACCACAGATCAATAAGGTTGGAAAAGACGACTAGGATCATCTAGTCCAATTGTCAGCCTATCACCACCATGCCCACTAACCACATCCCTAAAAAAAGCAACAGTTCCATCGTTCAGATAGCTTGGGAGGTGGAGGCTATTTGGGGGTAGGGGGGCTGCTTCTGTAAGCACACGGCCTGGCCCTCAGAAGAAACACTGAGATAACCAGCAGTAGCTAGCACTTTTACAAGCCAGTTGCTGAGTACTGCACTTCAGAAAGCTCCTTCGACACAATGAGTTTTTGATGGTTGTGCAAGGTAAAGTCCTGACCCTCAGCCTTGCAGCCTTCTGAGCCATTCCTGCAAGCATGGTTCCCCTCCACACTGCATGAGACCACTGTCCACAGTACCCTGACCTTGTTTTCCTCTGGAAAGAAACCACCAGAATGCCACATCAACACAAGCCCAGGAGCCCACCTCAGCTTCCAGACCAAGCTAAGGGCAATTACAGGTGTCTTTTTGTGGTGCGCTGTCCCAGATTCCAGCCATCTGGTTTGGAAGCATCCAGCATCAGACACTGCAGCCAAAGAACATCTCTGCAGATTTACTTAATCCCTTCTTAACTACAACTGTGACAATAACATTCTGCAATGAGACCCATAATTCAGCTTTCCTGGGCAAAAAATATCTCCCTGTTTCTAATCTACCGATCATTTCAATGGATGGCCTCTGGAACATGCCTTTTGTTTCACACTGCCCTTCCCCTGCCCCCCTTATTTTCTCCATTCTTCAAAAGGATTTTGAGCTTTTAATCTGTCCCAGGGGGACATGCTCACCTCATTCTGTCTGCTCACCGAAGCTCCTCCATCTCTGATGATCTCTACTTTCTTTCCACCTTTTTTCCTTCATCTGTTTTTTAACAGAGTAGCCAAAATGGGACGTGCTATTTAAGATGTTCAGGCAACGTGGATTTAGATTTTACTTTTAGCTATACTACTCCTACACTGGCTTCCTTTCTGACTGAAAAAAAAGCACTGATTACAATGAGCGTAGAAGCTTTCTCAACTGGCAGGAGCCATTTTGCTCATTACTTTGGTGATACCCCACAGACATCACTTTGCACTTACTAGTATTTAGTTTCACATGACATTTCACTGGTAAAGTTATACATTCACGATCTTACAAAACACATTTGATGGCAGATTTTAAATAGCAGATGGACTGGAAAAGGCATCAAACAGCGAATGAAAGAAAGATTAAGTTCACTGAACAGCACGTGCTAAGCTCTATCTGTATACTCTCAAAAACCTGTTGCCTTCAAAAACCGAACTGAAATCACGTTACAGTTGGTGTTACAGCTAGAAAGATTGTCGTGGTGAAAATGGGAAAAGAAACAAACAGGGAAGGAATGCTCATCTCTATCTACAGATCTAGGTTTGTAGGAAAGACCCCGCAGAGGAGGGATCTCCAGAAAGAGATCCGTCCCCACTGGCAGTCAGCCCTTAAATGGGGTCTGGGAGAGGTGCAGCCAGGCTCCACCCCCTTCCGGTCACACAGCTGAATTGCCTTCACCTGTGCTCCCATGGCTGACCCACTTCTTTCCTCAGGTGATCAATCAGTGGTTCAGGCCGTGACTCAACAGCTCCCATACAACACACCATGATTTCCTTCTTAGAACCATGCTGGGGAAGAACTGGCATACTCCATTACTTTCTTCCCAAAACCTTTCCCTCTTCCCCAGGTTAACTCAAGATGATTACACGCACAGTTAATTCACACTTCCCCAGGCCAAACTTCCAAGTACATTACTCACGTTTCCAAATGACTCTTGAGCTGTTCGTACACCAGGATATTGTTACACTGCTTAGCAAAATGCAGTGCACTGTTCTGATGCTTTGACAAAATGTTGCAGTCCGCTCCGCTTTCAATCATAAGCCGCACAATGTCCGAATTCCCTCTTTTACATGCCTGTGCCAAGCAACAAGAAGGGAGGACAACACCACAAATCCCATTAAAGAAGAGCATGACACTGAAGAAAGCAGAACTGCAGAAACACATTTCAATCCAAAGTTAAGTTACGACTCAGAAAACAAGTTTAAGCAATCGCCCGGTGAACGCTAACAAATCACAATGTACCTGATCCCACAGAAGCAACACTGGGGTTACCAAATGGACTTAATTTAAAAGAAAACTCAGTTCTTTGAAAAGATCTAATCTGCAAGAGTACACTACCTATAAGCTGGTCTGAATAAATGGATTTCCATAGAAGCATTCAGAACGACTGAAGGAACACTTCCAAGTGTCTGTTTCTAGGAATGTCAGTATAAATGTTACTTCAGAAAAGGAATGGAATTTGCCTCACACTGTCACTTTGTTATGTTAGACAGTCACTGTATTAACTGCATGCATGCCCAAAGCTGTCAGCATTACCTACAGCAAGAATGCCCAGGTGTTTAGGTGAAGACTTGAAAAAGGCACTGGAAAATCTAAAGAAAGCTTTGCTCTGAAGAATGCAAGCATGCTCTTGACAGCTTTCCAAGTACCTCAATACAGAATATCTTTACGAAGCCTTTCAGAAGTCATCAACTGACATTTGTTTGAGACCTGAACTTTCATATGTACTTTTTGAATCCATAATCTTCCATCAACAAACAAAACCAAAACCAACATTCGCCCTTAACAGATAAAACAAAAAGAAAAAAAGAACTGTTGAGACTTTTTCCCCCTCTTTTTAGAGATAAGAACCAACTGCTACAGTTAAGTAAGAGTGTCCTGATAAATGCACTTGTATGTTTATCGAGACACAGCTAAACTTGTTCCAGTAAATTGCTGGAAACAAAGACGCTACTCTTCATATCTGCACAGCAAAACAAATACGTGGATTAAGTCTCCATAGGCTGCCAATTAGAGGGCATGCATAGCTGTGCATCAAACACTAAGAAAATACCCTTGAAAAACTATGAAGGTCAAAACTGAGGTTCATGGAGGCAGTCAAATAATGGAGAGATTTTGGGCGTCAGTGACAGAGGAAACCACAAGTGCGTCACGATTTTCTGTACAGAAGACGTGAATTCCCTAAGCCTTGGGCAGGTTAACAGAGAAATAACACCACTTGTCTGGAACAGAAGAGTTCTTGTAATCTCTTCTGTAAACAAACTGCCTTAAACAGCCTTCAAAAAATACAGCAAGTTCACCAGGAACACAAACTTTGGCGGAATTAATAGACATAAACCAAAAACCTATTAGGAAAGGCACAGACTGCTTTAAGGGTCTTAGAATTTTCCCATTACAATAAAATAAAAACCAACCAAACAACAACAACAGAATACCATTCTCCTGCGAAGACAGAGGACAATCACAGTATATTCAAGTGGGCTTTGTCTCTAGTTTTTATTTTCCTGTTGGCAGACATTATTTCACTTTCAGGACCATTTCTTTGACCCAGGCAGCAGAAGAAACCAAACCACACTAACCCTGCATTGCATTGTTGAGATACAACAGTAAGTTAGAAAAAGCCAAACTACTAAAACACTGCCTCATGTATCTGAGAGCAGTACTTGTATTTCCAATGTAGTGTATGTCCCAGCTAAATCAATTCTGAAAATAAACTTCTGTCTTCTCTACACTATTAATACTCAACAATAACTGGCAAACTAAATCACATCAGGATAAATAACTGAGTTTACCTTCATTAAAGCAGTCTCACCGCTGCTCTGCTGCATGTTCACAAATGCTCCAGCTTCCAGAAGAATAGCTACTGTTGTTAGAAAGTTCTTTAAAAAAAAAACAACAAACAAAACCACAAGACAAGTAGGTATAACATCTTCAGTTTTCATTTTAAAATATAAGCATGATGCATGTCAGAATTAATGCTGTTCTCTTTCATTGCTCATAAAGATCAATTCAGACTGAGGCAAATGCCACGAGCATTTACCATTTTTTACTTAACCTTGTAATAACAAACACCCCAGGGGGAAAAAAAAAGACCCAAAACCAAACAGTATGTTTGCATTAATCACCAAACAGGAATCAAGTTCCCTTTTGGCCACATACCTACTCTACCTGGGAAAGTAAGTGAACCAACTTGAAACCACCAAACATCCTTTCATGTAGCAGTCAAGTCAAGCTAGCCTTAGCTTGAGCAGAGCTTGTCACTACCTCTATTCCCCTGCTCTCAATTAGCAAACTCTGCTTAATCAGAGATTTGGTCTCCAAGTTTCACAAGTCTGGATCCTGCCTATCCAAAGAAAACAAGCAATTCTACTGCAAGAACTTCGGCTCCATGAAAGAGAAATTTAGGGATAGCCCTTACATCAGCTTTCCTTCCAAGCTGCCCTGTGATATTCCCTACATAGACAGGTTTTACTATCACCTACAGAATTTATTTAGCCTACAGTAACCACAGCTACCAATATTATGCAGTGATGGTCATCCTGCTGTATCCTGCTAATTATTTAAGGATCACTCAAGGGAGGTGGAAAAAAAGGATACCACTTTTAATTTAAACAAAAGAGCCAAGAACTACAAATATGACAGTGACAGAGCCAACCTTTTCAGCTGCGTGTATCAGTGCGGTTGTTCCATTTTTCTGCCTGCCATTAACTTTAGCTCCCTTCCTGATTAGGACCCGGAGGAGGTCATCATGTCCACCAGCAGCAGCAAGCATTACTAGAGTCATTCCACTGGAATCCTGCAACGACATCAATCATCGCCATAAAAATCAAATATCTGAAGACAGATCACAGCCACAAGACAACGAATCCAAACACAACAGGTTTCACAAGATTCTCCTCCCCTCTTCACACACGCACAGCTGCCAGACACTGACAAACTATCACCACAGACTCCTCTCACTCACAAACATCACTCTGAGCTCCAGAAATACGAAGGAAATCAGAACGAGCCAGTATAAGAGGCAGCAAGGCATGGGACAGCAGGGAGAAGACCGACACAGTGGAAAAAGAAATTGGCAAATGCTGGAGAAAAAGCCCAAGGGTCTAAGCCAGCTGCTACCACAACACTGCTTTTGGATTTTATCTGAGGAAAAATGCGAAGAGATTTCTGTGAGCAGCCACTCTCCCCTCACCCGCTTTTACATTTCCCACCAAGCACTACAATTCAAAAAGCACATGCCTGCCTCAACAGTTCACTTGGCATCTTCTGTTCTACCATGCAACAGAAGTTTTAGCATGGTGAACAGTCCTTAAAATGTTGGACTTCAATTCTCAAAAATGGGCAAATTTGGTGCAGATCCAGCAACAAGGTGCTTCTTTGAAAATTCACTTCTTTCAAGGAAATGGGGAACAAATACTGATGCCTTTTACTTTGTGCTACTCTTTCACTGTGCTATCTGTATTAAATCTGCTACTGGTCAACAAGAGAGAACTTCTCAAAGACTCCAAATTTGTACACTCCCCCACTCAATAACTCTATTATGGAAAAGTTACCTCTTGATCCAGATTATATTCCTCGCTTGAAGAAAGTGCCATCTTTACTGTCATATAATCTCCACTTTTGACAGCATCCCTCAGGAGCGCTAGAAAATAAATTTAATGCAGGTAAAGCATATCTCACATTGAGATGCTGGAGAAGGAAAGTCCAGTCCTCCCAACAACTACTTACTACTGGATACTGGTTCTGCTGAGATGTGATTCTCATCTTCTCCATCAAGATGCTTCTGAAAGTCTTCTAGCGTTAGCCATTCTAACTGCATGTCCATACCCAAACTCAAAACTGGTTGCTTGCCATCTATCATATTTATAAAAGAAAACAATAAAATAAGTAACAACTTATAAACTTCCAAATCATTCACTGCTTGCCATTACTTCAGCAGTCAGCAGCACAACATACTCTTTTTCATTCAAACAAGATTTTGGAAGCCAATGTGAAATGATTCCAAACAATGAAAGCTGTGTTGCAAGCACAAAAAAGGCTTTTACTTGAAAGAAGCCACTTGTTTGTTCCATGACATTAGGCTGAAGCGATCAGAGATGGCAAACACTCCATAACTATAACAGCAGAAATACACTGGGAACACGCTGATAGGCTTAAAAATTAGCAAGAGTTTCAAAAGAAAATACTGGTTCAGCTTCCTGGGGTAGTAGGAACTGGAGAATTAAAAGATGCAAGCAGGAATGGAGTTAGTATTAAATGCAAGCGCTCATCTTTCTCCTAGATTTGGTTCTACAGCTCACCAGAGTTCTCCATTTGACACACATCCACTACTTCTCGACCACCTCCTGCAGCAACGTAATTCCATGTTTCTGCTTCATCTTTTATCCTCCTCTCCTTGTGCACTTTGCTGTCTTTTAATTTTAATTCTTCTATGAATTTATATTCTAGCGAGGGTTCTTCTTTTTTGCAGTTATTCTCAGAGCATTCCTTTTTTTCTTCTGAAGCTACATTAAACATGTCAAGTGCACTTTTGATGTCCTTATAGCCTAGAACATTAAGACAGTTACCAAGAATGACTTCCTGAGCCACTAAAGGCTTTTACATAACAAAGTTTAAATAAGTGACTGGAGTCCATTTAGTAGAGGTCTATTCTCTCTTCCTAAGTTAATCATTGCTGAAGCACAGGAGAAAGCTTAACAAAAAAGCCAAAATAGGGACAGTTAGTTCACCTTCAATGTCCCTGGTAAGTCTGAGCTCTGACTGCTTTCTACTTAGTATTATCTTCTTGAGAAATTTCATTTAGAATTATGCATAAATTACCACCTTGAAAAAATGTTTCAGTACCTGTGACAACCAAAGAACACGTGCTGTATAAAGAGGAATTAATCATCTGCTGGCTACTTTTCTTCAGCTGTTAGCATCTATCGTCCTTTAAGTGAAAGCTGTTTCTCTGCCAATAGCTTTTGAAGCACCACAGCTCTTCCTATGTCCATTCAGAATGCCAAAAGCAGAAAATTCACTCAGAATTTTCCTGAGATCAAGAGTGGTAACATTAATATCCCATCACTAAACTAACAACAGAAGCCCAACCCAGACGTTTCATGTTTCAAGTCACCTTGTTGTGATTTTTTGAGGCTTGTACAGTAACCCTAAAGCAAGAGGCGTAAGGTTTGCCTGAAGTGAACCTCTACCAGCTAACTCCAGAAATACAAAGTGTGTGCTTATAATGATATCAAAATGCTTCTGGAAATAGACAATAGTTGGATGAACTCACCCAAAAAGATTGTTGTCACTGGTGTGATAAAGCAACGTTAACAATACTAAATGAAAAAGGGCAAAATCTTGACTTGTCTATAAAAACATTACAGGCAATATAAACTTTCATACCTCAGGCAGCCTTCTCACAAAGCCATAAAAAAGCAGGCTTTCATTTCTTAAAAGGAAAGCAGAAATTGCTTCTGTAGCATGTATTAGAAATGTTGTATCGTATCTGCCCTTACAGGAATAAGAGGAGAATGCCTTGAAAGGTGCTTCCTTTCTCTTTTAAGCAATTAACACTTACTTTTCAGGACCTTCTGTTCTTTTCTACTCTTTTCTTCTTTTTCAGACTCTTTTTTTACAGATTTTTCTTTCATTTCAGTTTTCTTTATTTCTTTCTCCTGTTATTAAGAAAAAAGGATCAAATGAGAGCGATATGGAGAAAGTGGAAAATAACACTACTGAAACCTTATGGACAACAGACTTACAGACACAATCCTAAGAAAAGAATTAAATGGGTGAGAGAGGAGCTGCTCTGGGAAGGCTTCTTCACTAAGAGGAAAAGATCTTCCAAATTAGGGAACTTCAGTTTGGAGTTCTGTAGCATCCCAGCCATGTGAGGCACTCGCACATATCAAAACCAGCATACATTTACAATTAGGCTGTGTTACCACTTCCTAAAATGACACATAGCAAAGACAAAACACACCAGGAAACCACTCTATTTAATAATCTGAGTCTGAAATGTTAGCTGGTGTGTCATTCGTGACTCCAAAGCAAGCAGAAACCAGAGCCCTCTCTTAGAAGTGATCTCTCTACTAAAACTGAGATGACAGCTGAAATCTCAAGGTACCAAATAAGGAGACTACAACTCAAAGAGGCACAAATTAACATTCAAGTCCTTAAGTGATCACAGAATCATTAGTGCTGCCATTTCTTAGAAAGGTAAAAAACTAAATGAATTCAGTATATCATGAAGCCTTCCTTCTCTCTCCTCAAAAATCTGCCTTTTGGTGACAGACACAACGAACCAGCAGCACAGACAGACATCATTCCAGGCAGGTGCCCACAGTAGTAGCAAACAAATGACAAGATTACCAGATACTGCTAAGCACAAGGGCTGTTAAAAAACTTGAGTTCTGTTCCAGATTTCTTGATGTTGATGAGATGCACAGTGTATCCTACACGTTTATTTTTAGAAGATAAATCAAAAGGAAGAAAGGGTTCATCACACAAAATGACTCCAGACAGGGCATACTGTACCACAGATTGACATGACGGTGTTCTGTAATCACAGAAGAGTCAGGCAGCTGAAACAAAGGCCATGCTTTACTTTCAAAAGAACGATATGCTTGGGCCCACAACTTCATGACACACAGCAAGCCCCAAAGCTGTGCACTGAGCCCACACACGCAGAGAGTCCCACAAGTGCTTTGGGCAGTAACTGGCCAGATACAGACACCACCACTTCAGCATGCAGGAGATGGATGGCAAAAAGCAGAATGCCTTCCAAGCTACACCTAGTGAGAGTGCTGGCTGAAGAGCAGTGAGAAAACCACCCTTCCCCCTGCTGCTGATTTCTTCATATTTGTGGTGACAGGGTTTGTACACTTGGTAATAAACAGAATTCCAAGTATGTATCTGATTATCTGATGCTGCTCTCTTATGAATGCTATGGCCTCAAACTATGAGAAAATACTTGGAGTAATGAAGGGCCGTGCCATTTCAGTTAGTTACTACTGTAAAGAAAATGAGTTAAATAGCTGTGTGAAACCAGCTATGCCCCACAGCTATTGCTTAACCTTGTTTAGAAGAGCTTTCACCACTAAGCTCCCACAAAGAGTACTTTGTGTTGCTCAGCTCTGAGGTTACTCCATGCAATATTGTTATTCTCTGTTCAAAACAAATCAAGGTGCTTACGTTAAGGTGCCAACCCCATACAGACAACAGCCTCAGAGGACTGCAACTGAACCTACAGAAACAAGACACTTGTCACCACAGAATTATGGCCTCAGGAGCAGTGGGACATAATCCAATAAGCACCAAGGTACCGTGGCTGCAGCCCAGTTACAAATCAGGAAGGAGTTTCTCCGGGCAGCCAATGATTCTTTTTTAAGAACTACAAATAGTCTGAAGAAGCTGAAAAATACATTCTCTAACAGCAGATTTTCCTCATAAACATTCTCCTTTATTCCCCACATATACAATGACATTTAAAAAAATTATTTTATCTTCTTGTTTTTCTTAAAACATTATTGTATTAAATAGCAGAAATTAAATAGTATGTCAGTATTTGATTAGCTCCTTTGCTAGAAGGGGCACAGCATTTGTAATTAGTCACCAAGTTGTGCAGCTCAGAATCTCCTGAAAGCAGCACAGGAATTCCAACAAGACAAGACAAGCTGGGCAATTATCTGGGAGATCACAGAAAGGCTTGGGTTGGAAGGGTCCTCAAGGATCATCAAGCTCCAGCCCCCTGAGGGCCACCAATTTGGGTTTGGAAGCAATTTCAACATTCTGGTTCTTCTGAAGCCACTAACACACACAAAGTCTAACCAAGAGGCTGGCTTCTGAGAGAAATCAAGTGCAGAAGCATACTCCACTGTGCAGTTGGATAGCTGCTAGAAGACTGAATGCCTTACTATGCAAGCAGACAAAAGCCAAACTGAGGCAGCTGTTGAAGGTGGGAGAAACAAGAGGCTAAAAAGGACAACACGCATCTGCAGAGCAGAAGTTTTCATTTTAAGTACATACACATAGCAAAGGAGAGATTCACATTTTCATACCTAAAAGACACTCCTCTGTCCCAAAGCACTCTCCTCTTCTTAGTGTTCAAAATCCACTTCTTCCATCCTGTCTATAGACCCTGCAGTGCACCTTTCATTTGCTTTATCCATCTCATTAGCCTTCAGGCACTTATGTTTCCGTTCGCCATCATAAACAGCAGCCTTTTCAGGTACCTCTGCCTCAGCTGTGTTTGACCCGAACCCCCTCCCCAGTGCTCCCCAGTGCCCTCACACTGCTCACCTCCTCTCCTGACTCCATGGATTTGCATCCTCTCTCCTCATCGCTCACCCTCAAAGCCTTCTGTGCCAGCACGGGAGCAGCTGACACTTTCTCCAACTCTGCAGCCACCACTTTCACTTTTTCTTGACTTTTCTGCTTTTTGAGTATGCCTTTCTTCTCCAAATAGGTATCTTTGATTTCCACTTTTCTATCCTCCTCTTTGTAATCTTCCATTTTCTGATTTTTTTTCTTCTTTCTTTTAGCCTTAACCTCGACACTATCATCTTCATTACTTGCTGATCCATCAAGCTGTCTGTCAGCAATGGAATCTTTTTCAGCAATTTCTTCTTCCATCCTCTCTGTTTCACATTTTACTTGTTGTTCCTCCTCTTTATTTTCAGAGCATAACTGTGGATTTTCATTGTCAATCTCCTGAAAAAGTGCATCATCTAAAGTACTCGGCTCTGTGTCAAACTGAGCATCTCCTTGCTTCTCCTTCCGTGATTTTTTACTTTCTTTAGAATCTTCTTTAGTTTTTATTTTTGCATCTTTAACTTCTCCCTTCTTTTTCTTTACTTCCTTAGTATCTTCTTTCCTTTGCTTCTTTGAATCCTTTGAATCTTCCTTTGTTTCTGAAGTCCTTTTTTTGGGTTTTGAATCCAACCCCAAAGTATCTGAAGAACTTTCACATTCTGTCCTGAGTTTCTCTTTGACTTTTGCAGACTTTGACTTTTTCTTCTTCAGGTCATCTGCACTTCTATCCTCTCCCTCTCTTGACTTTTTCTTTTTCTTCTTTGGTGAAACATCCTCTTTTGTTTCGCTTTGCCCATCAATGTCAGATTCTGTTTCAAACACGTCATCATTTAAAGAAAATTTCTAAAATGTAGGGGGAAAAAAAAAGAAAATATTTACTTCTCCATTAAACTGTATCAAGTGAATGCAAGCCATACAAAATTGGCAGTGCTTGTGCTTGGGAAAGTAAACTGTTTTTAAACATCCCTTGCAGCCAAAGCACAAAGTTTGTAAGCACAATTCTGACTCACTTTCTTACATTACATCACATTACTGGCTACCTGAAAGAGAACCAACATCTAAAGAAGCAAAGCAAACCAACTGGATGCCCAGCATCTTGATTCCAGAACCAAACTAAATTTCAACTGTTTTACATCAAAACCAGTTGCCTTGATTTTGCAAAATTTACGTATGGATTTCTCAGAAACAAGGTAATAGCTTTCAAAAATGGTTCTCACATAGGATTTTGAAAATGACTGAGCAGTTAAACAGAAACAAACAAGGGAAAATTGCCTTCCTGTATTTTTCTTATCTGATGAATTAAATTAATCTGCTTCGAGAAGGAGGGTGAAAAGAGCAGACCCAGCTTCAGTGCTGACAAACCTGTGAGCGGGAAAAGGAGGTTGCTTTTGTTGTCAAAAAATAACTAAAATAAGCATACATCATCATCTCAATTTCTAATGAAGCCATATTAAATTTGCCATATTAAATGGATTCAGACTCTACGAGCAAGCCTGTAAATTTGAAAAAGCTCCTTAACCACACAACAGCAATAACATCTGAGGTCTGCTGGAAGAAAAAGCTCTCAGATCATCCAAGTCATCACTTCCGCATCCCAAACATCCTGCATTCCCATGCCAGCCATTAGAAGAGCCTAGGCAGGCAGTTTGTCTTCCACCGAGGACGACAGGAGGAGGAACACACCTGAAGGTCCTTTTTCACAGCCTTTGCCTTGGTGTCCACAAACTTTCTTCTGAATTCAAGCAGCACTTCTTTGCAGTCTTCCAAATGAACCTCTGGTTCCCAGGTATCGTCATCAGAGGTATAGCCCTTCCACCGGACTTTGTACAGAATTACACCCTGTAAGAAAAGAACCAAAACACTGAACATGTTACAGCACAGTATTATTCCATCCACTCAATTCTTGTGGCTTCTCTATAGTGAAGAGGAGGATTTTAAACCTTAAGATTTGTAATACAGTAGCACTACTCACTCAGCTCTAAATTGGAATTTATAATCTGTTAGATTTACAATCAGTGCCACTTGTGATAAACTGCAATACGACAATAAGAAATGAAAGCCCTTCAATGAGATCAAGTCAAATGTAGATTTAGACAAAACCTGAGTATGGGCATCTGAGTTAGTTACAAACATATTGGTAAAAGATTGTAATTGCAGCCCTAGATCAATTCTTTCAACAGTATCTAAAATGTCATTGTGGCTTCATCCTAAGTAATTTCACCAGATTAAAAGAAGTCTGTTAGCATTAAGGGGAGAAAAAAGGAAAAAAAAAAAAAAAAGGAGAAAAAAGGAGAAAAAGAAAAGGTGGGGTAACAAGGGAAGCTTTTCACTAAAGCATCTCTTGATTTTCTCCTAAATAAATTGAACAGCCCAAATCTGTCGCTCCTCAGGGCAGACTCCTTCCCCTGCTGAGATGCCAGGCTTTAGGCCTGCTGGGAGCACAGCCTGCCGCAGCCAGGCAAGCAGCACTCTGTGTCTTCTGCACCAGCCTTCACTGAGTGGCAGAGATGCATCTTATGGAGTCAGTGTGGTCACCTTCCTCCACTGACCATGCAGCCTCATTAGATAGAGGTATGACAGTGACCAGCAGCAAACTTTAAAAGATGAATCTGTTTTCCATTAGAAATGTAATAGCAAACACAAGGTAGCATAACCATCCCAGAACTTATTTTCTAAAAAGAAATTATCATAGGCGTTAACCAGAACGCCTCTGGAGAAGCATAATAACAGTGCCTTTGACTCATTAAAGAACAGAGTCAACGTTCCCCAAACCCAGGGGGAACGTCACCCTGCACCTTGCAGCTTGTCACTTCAGTGGGATTTTAATGCAGTACAGAAGCTTTTGAAATGCTCAGAATTTCTGCTGCTATTTTCCTGGAGCAGGACAAGGCCATGTTCATCTGCCAGCAGGCAGCTCCCCAGCCCAGACTCATCCCCAGAGCCTTGTCTCTCCCACCCACCCATCACTGCCAGGCACAGAGTATCAGCATGGGAACTGACAGGAGCTTCCCTATGCAGCACCCTCCAGTTCCCACACCTGCAGATGTAGCACAGGAGCCCAGAGCCTGTCTTGTCAGCTCTATGCATCTGTCCCAGCTTTGAAACACACCTGAAAAGCATCAGCCTAAAGCTGACTGCACATAATACGCCCCATTGAATGCAGCATACAGCTTTTTCCATTCCTTTCAGGCTTGAGTGATTACCTGCCACGCCCTGCACGTCTGTAGCACAGGAGCTCAGCCCCCATTTGAAAGCCACAGAAAGGGTCTGGAGCAACCACAGCCCCCAGGACCCACACATGTTGAGCAAGCAAATGTCCTGCGTGGCCACGTCCTCCAACCCAGCCTGGAAACCTCCAGTGTGCACAGCACAGAGCAGCTGCCACTGGCTTGTACACAGCACAGATTGATCTAGGAGATGTTATTCAGTATATACAACAGAATCACAAAATTGTTTGAGTTGGAGGGGACTCCCTAAAGGCCAACCCCCCCAGCAACAAACAGGGACACCTACAGCTCCATCAGGCTGCTCAGAGCCCTGTCCAGCCCAAACCTGAGTATCTTCATGGATGGGGCATCCACCACCTCTCCAGGCAACCTGTGCCAGTGCCTCACCACTCTTACTGTAAAAAACTTCTTCCTTATTTTTACATCTCCTCTCTTTTAGTTTGAAACCATTTCCCCTTGTCCTATTACTACAGACCCTGCTAAAGTCTGTCCCCTTTTTTACTGTAGCTCCCCTTTAGATAATGAAAGGCTGCTTTCAGGTCACCTTGGAGACTTCTCCAGGCTGAACAGCCCCAGCTCTCTCAGCCTGTCCTCATAGGAGAGGTGTTCCATCTCTTGGATCATTTTTGTGGCCCTCCTCTGGATGTGCTCCAACAAGTCCATGTCTACTGAGGACTCCACATCTGGATGCAGTACTCCAGGTGAGGCCTCACCAGCACAGAGCAGAGGGGCAGGATCACCTCCCTGAGATATTCTGGTGCTCTTCAGAAGTGTGTGCAGAGCATGATCCTCCTCCCCAAGGAGACTGATTTTCAGATCTCTGACTGTAAGAAAAGTGCTTGTGCTTTCAGGCCAGATTAACTATTGTGGCTAACACCTCATACCTCCACAGCATAATACTCTCAAGCCACAGACATTTCAGCCAAGATATGACCAAACCACCGCAGCATCATAAATACATAAAGCAATTCTTCATTTGAAGGTTCCTCAACATCAGTGCTGTGTATCTCTGATGCTCCACGGGAAGCGGGTAGACTTCCACACTCGTGTGATCCTGACTGAAGCCTAGCACCAAAACATGAGCTATTTAAAATAAACAAGTAGAAAATACAAAAATTGTTTTTAAAAAGCTGTGTTTGTTATTTTTTGCTTGTGAAATTTAGAGAATTTCTGAAACACACTGAGGCCCTGGAGCACGTGCAGAGAAGGGCAATGAAGCTGTGAGGGGTCTGGAGCACAAGGCTTATGGGGAGCAGCTGAGGGGACTGGGATTGTTCAGCCTGAAGGAGGCTCAGGGGAGCCCTTATTGCTCTCTGCAACTGCCTGAAAGGAGGCCGTGGTGAGGTGGGGGGGTTTCGGCCAATCGGCCACTGGATAACAGTGACAGCAGCAGAGGGAACGGCACTGAGCCGCACCAGGGGAGGTTCAGTTGTACGTCAGGAACTTCTCAGGAGGAGCGGTGAGGCAGCGGCACAGGCTGCCCAGGGCGGTGCTGTGCAGTCACCACCATCCCCGGAGGTGCTCAAGATGCAGCACCGAGGGATGCGGTTGGACAGGGTGATCTGAGAGATCCTTTCCAACCTCAGCGATTCGGTGAAAGACTCCTATGAGAACACGCAGGCTGCTCTCAGCGGAACGGGAAAAGGCAGAGTCCCGCCTGACAGAGCCCGGGGGTCACCGCAGCCGTTATTTCAGCCGGAGAAAAGTCCGCCCGCTCGGAGCGGCCCTCTCACAGCCGCGCCGCCCAGCCCGGCACCGCCGCAGCTCGGGCACCACGGGGCAGCGCGCGGCTTCGTGCCGCCGACAAAAAAGAAAACTTCGCCGAGAGCCGCGGGGTTCGGCCGCTCATTCGGAAGACGGAACCCCGCGCCGCGGAGCCGCCGCTCGAGCAGCGCCGAGCCGCGCCCGGTCTCTCCCCGGCGGCGCCCGGCGCTCCCGCACACGGCGCGGGGGCAGCGGCGGCCGCCCAGGCCCCACCCGGCCCGGCCGCAGCCCGCCGCGCAGCCGAGGACGGGGCCGGAGCCCGAACCCGCGCCGGGGCCGCCGCGTTCCGCGGCCCGGAGCCGCCCTCCTGCCGCCGGAGGGCCCAGCGGCCGCTCCCGGTGCCGCCGCGGCCCCCGGAGGGCGGCGGGCGCTGACAGGAGGCGGCGCCGCGCGCTCACCCCCTCGGTCTTCACGTCGAGGATCTTCTCCACTTCGAACACGTCGTCCTCCTCCTCCTCTTCCTCCTCCTCCTCGCTCTCACCGCCGGCGCCCGCCGCCCCGCCGCCGTCCACCACCTCGTTTTCCCCGTCCCCGGCCGCCGTCTCCGTCTCCTCCTCTTCCCCCGCCCCCTCCAGCCTGGCCGCCGCCGCCTCGGCCCCGCTCCCCGCCGCAGCCATTTTGGGCCGAGTTTCAAACGGCGATGGGGAAAAGCGGCTGCGACACCCGCGGCAGCCAATCGGCGCCCGGCTGCCGTGACGTCACGGGAGAGGCGGGGCCTACGCGTCCTCCGCGCGCGGCGGGCGGCTGCGCCTTTGGGCGGCGGGCTGCGTCGGGCCGATGTGTTCTTCGTGTGAGAAAAGGCCATAACGGTTTGTTGCTTCGCTGATCGCCTCTGCCAGAGCCAGAGTGTTAGCAGAGCTGTGCCGGAAGCAGCGTACCGAGGAGTGCTGCCACTTATGCCTTCCAGCCCACGTGAAAACTGGCGCCGGTGGCACGGCTGGAACAGAAGTGAGAAGTGCTGTCACAAAGCTGTGACAAGGTGGCCGCGAAGGGACGCGTGAGCGACAGGGAAACGGGCGGAGGAAAGCAGCGTTGTGCTCCTCCAGGGCGCGCTGCAGGAAGTACGGAGGCATCCCAGTGAGGGCACCGACGCGTTGTATCGCGAAGGCGTTTATTAGGGCTTTGCTAAGCACACCGGTAGCCATCGAACACACGTTACATCTGACAGTGCTGCTACAGAGGGGATAAGAAATAAAACAACAGAGATACAATAACAGTACTAGGAGTATCTGTCTGTGACTATGAAAATTATTCAAGAGTAACATAAAGTGAAAATTACTCAATTAAAATATGTAAAGCAGCCAGAAAAGCTAACGTTGCTGTTGTCTTACATGATCACAATCATGAAGTGATTCAAGAAGAAGGAGAGCTGCTGTCAGTTGCACTCGATCCCCAGTATCTTCTTGGTGGCAGAATCCCAGTTGTTCCCAAGTTCAAGTCGATAGCAAATAGATGCAAACTGTCCCTCAACTCTTCTTACCCACTCTGTTGCTTTCTTGATGGACTCAAAAGCCCAGTGAACACCGCTGTGTGCAGAAATGGAGATTTATTAGAATAAATTCTATGACATTGTAATGTACAATGTACAATGAAATGATTTCTTATAATCCTTTGAAAGAGAAAGTGGTCTACAGTACAGCAAACACAGCCTACATCTATCATTTGTCAGAGAAAACAACATCATTTTCTGTGCCCCATCTTTTCAGTGTCTTCCATATGGGAAGCAGTCTATACATAATGGTTACTCGCATTCATTTGCACTGTTCCAGTCCCCACAGTGAAGTGCTACACATTCCATTATGGCAAACTTGACTCCTTTGTATAATTGCATGTTAGAATTCTTTCACTTTTGTGGTCTACTCCACTTGCTTTCATCCAGCAGTAGATGTGATTTAATTTGTGTTCAGACCAAATTATACAATCATTTTTCCCTCTGTCAGAGAGTTTCAAGAGAGGGAAGAAGACTCTGCAGGGCTTTCCTGGGTTCTTTATTCTTTTCTTAAATTCCCTGGTAAAGCATTAAGGGTATTAGCTTCTCATTTTGGCACCACAATCATCTGCTATCTGGGGCAGTCCAGACTCACTGAAGGCCTATTCCTTCAGGCTTCTTTTAAGACCTTTGCCTTTCCTTTCTAACAAAAAACTTCCCACCTGACAATTACTTGCTTCACTGAAAGTGAAAGGAAATTTCTAGATGCAGCAACCCTATATTCAAAAGCTAATGGAGCACTGGCACATACAGAAGTAAGTGGGAGTAGTTAGAATGAGCTAACATCAGTATTCCCGAGGGGAAGTGGAAAACATGGAAGTTGTGCTGGGATGAATCATCTGCCCTAAGAACTTCAGAAGTATTGTATTTTATGGTGTACACCTGTGAAGATCAACAATGCATAAATAAAATGCTAAGAAGGGATGAAGACCAAGAGCCAAAACAGGCATGAAGGGAAAGTTTGAAATGATTGATGTCTAGAAAAAGTTGAAATGGTGGAATCTCCATCCTTAAAAATCAGCTGGGCAGGATTTTGAACAATTTATCTGAGTTGGCTCTGCTTTAAGGAACAGATGACCTGAAGAGGTCGTGAATTATTCAATGATTCTGGTAAGAGGTACAAATCTTTTCCTACTTTAAATACTTCTCAATTTTTGTATTACATTTTGCAAAATATTCTTTCTTCCAACCCACCCTCCTAAAAGAAGCTGTGTGCCACCGCTATCACCAACATTTCCCATTCCCTTTTCTGCAGCTATATTCTGTAGCATAGTCATTTACTCTCTATAATGAGGTTAATCGTACATTGTTAAGAAGGTTTATATTACAATATTAAATTATAAGATTTTTTAAAAGCACACCTTGAAGTTGTTAAATTATCCAGTTTCATCAGTGATTTGAAGACTATTCCTTGCAGTGCCTTTGCACAGCGTATGAACTGTAGCACAAGAAGAGTAGCAATCAACTTCAGTAGCTTTTCTTTTCCATTTGTGCCTAAGGAAGAAGAAATGGGAAATCATTTAAATGATTTTTTGACAGCAGAAAAGAGACTTTCTGCAAAGTGTGTCCCCACATTGCTATAAAAATTTTTAAGTTCTGATGCTACCCAGTTGTTTCATGATACAGTCAGAACTATCAAGAATATTCACTATTCAAGAATAGTGATCCAAAAAATGTAGCACTGACTTTCAGACTTAAGCCTTGTAATGCTTTTTTTAGGATGTCTGCAGTTTGTGTTTGCTTGGCTTCTAATCTACTCTGATTTGAATGCATGCAGGAATGGGAAACATAAGATTTTTGTCCTTTGATGAAGCATTGCACCCTCCAATAATTTACAGAGAATGAACTGCCTTTTTGCCCCCAAGTTTTCTGGTCTGCTGCCAGCAAAGAACACCAACTGACAGAATCAGGCAGCAGACAAAGTGTGCGGAATGCCTACTGAATGAGCTACAGACAGCATATAGGAAAAAAAATTATATATTATTCATGTTATTTGAAATGTGGAAAACAGAAGCGATCACAGTCTCTCTCCTAGGAGACTTTCCAACTTTCCTTCCACCTTTTTTTTTTTTTTTTAAAGTAGGTATTAACACAGCAGAAATAATAATTGAAAGAAAAGAATCTCTATTAGTATTCCAGCTATTTCACATCCTCCACGTACTTCTCCAGGAGATGTACTTAGCAAGCACAACATTATATTGCAAGAGAAGCTGAGATGAATATGTGTAATTAAAATCAGATGCTTTTGAAAACACAGCTATGAGATCCACGTAAATGCTGAGCATATCTTATTGAAAGTTCCACCAGGCATACAAAGTAATAATACAGAAGGATAGGAAATGTAATACAGTGCACTGCTGTTTTAATAACAGAAAAAGTATTTACCGAGTGACTGAATGCCTTTTCTAATAAGGAAATGATTAATTAAATAATCAACATCAAATTTCAAGATTTTTCCCAACTGCGGACTGAGATTCCAAGAGCCATCCTGTGGAATAAACAAAGATATGGGTAAGCAAAGATGAGAAGACTGAAAATATATTTGTAAGGAACAACCTAAAACAAAGGACAAGTATTTAAAAATGTTTTTTAAAGCTTTCACAAACACAAATCACCCTCTAGTTTAGTCAGCTCACCAAAACAGAAGTTCCTGTGATCGATTAGGTGACTCAAATATTGAACTTCAAAAATCTTTGATGTACCACCCAATGTTTCTACTTGATCTGAAAAACTGTAGTTAAGCTATGAAAAAAATCAAACAGAACTAATTTTGAACTCACTTGCATACAAACTATGCACAATGACAACACAGCCACATCAGATTTATTTCAAACAAATTCTTTCAGAAAATTATTTTCAAAGTGCTCAGAAATAAGCATTTGTCTTATCCTAAAGAAGCAATAATGGATCTCTCTCCTCTCAAGGGATTGCAAAGTCTCTGCAAAATTAGTTTACTGTTTATGTTAAATATAGTATTAACAAAACCAATCCTATATTGTCTGTCTCTTCCTGCCAAAAAAAAGGCTGTCATTTTGCTACTCTCAGATGAGATGGAATACAGGCTCCCGAGAGGATATTCAACCACTTATTCTGTGTTACTTACTTTCAAAACTTTTATCTGCCCTTGCAGTAGTATGTCACAGATAACTGTAACTGTAGACAAACTGATAACAATTTACAGATTCATTTAGGGTAATTTAGAAAACAATACATGATTTTAAATGAATCTTTAAATATTAAACATCCAATCTATGTAAAAAGTGAGATTCTGTTAGGATACTAAACTTATTCAGTGTAAAAGCCCGTGAGGAACTGTTTTTCTTTCTAAAATTCAACAGTTGCAATCCTGCTTAAAAAGAAAAGGAATCTTGAAGCTCAGTTTGTGAGTTAAGTCAATCACAAGTCTGTTTCCCATTGTATCCTCACGTGCAGCATATGGTAATTGTTCAATGTGCAGAAATAATTTGATAAAAGTAACCCATCAAAAATACAGGAAAATGTGTATCTCTTCTTGATGCTTAAGTTAGTTATACTTTCCTACTTTTACATACAAACTGACATACTGGATCAGAGCAAAAGGGAGTAGAACAAATCACCAATCTGAATGGCCAGTCCCTGTGGACACATGACAGGAGTTTCCACTGAGGGAATACCACAGTGGTTTCTTCACTTGGATCATATAATACACCTGGAAACCTGTTGATCATCACATCACCCTCTAGTTTAGTCAGCTCACCAAACTGATGATGGTTAAGGTGGAACAGGGACTTGTTCCACAGCAGGGGGCATACTCAACAAGGCGAAATGTTACCTGCTTTGATCCTACCTGCAGGATTCTTGGACAGCATTGGTTCAATTCTGCTTGCTTGAAATTCATCAGCCATTCAGCTGGTTTGACTATCCTGCAGAAGTTCCCACTGCACTCACTCCAATTCTCCAAACTTCAATTAGTTTTAAGTTTTTTGCTTAATAAGCCTTATTTGCATCTTCTACTTCTGCCTGTCTTCCCCTACACGTTTTCATACACATTTTAGGAAGTCTCCAATCTGCAAACTGACGGGGGCTCTAAATCAGAGCTATATCACTACTTTTGGCTCTAATTTTACAGTTTCTTAGGCACCCATTGATGAGTTGCCTGTGACAGCAATATAACATAACATGACCTTGAGGTCATTATGTACTTCTTAAGACCAATTTGTAAGGGAAAAAAAACCAGATACATTTATAAAATGCTTATCTCGGGACAGACATAAAGTAAAAATACTTTTTCTTCTACATGTATTTTACTGTAAGTAATACACAAAAAGACTGTTGCTACTGTACCTGATTTTGGAGGTCAAAAATTTCTTCCCAGATTACAAGAGTAAACTCAAATTTCTGTTGGCTTCTTTCTTTCTCTGTTGTTATAAAACACCTTGATTGTACCTGAAGAGGATAATTTTCAGTCAGAATCAGAATCTTATTCTACCACCAATACCCATGCAGC